CCATCAGGTCACCAAGCCCAACTATCAGGTCACCCAGTCCAACCATCGGGTCACCAAGCCCAACTATCAGGTCATCCAGCCCAACTATCAGGTCACTCAGAATAACCATCAGGTCACCCAATCCAGCCACCAGGTCACCCAGCCCAACCATCAGATCATCCAGCCCAACCATCAATCACACAAAGCAACGTGCACAAGACTCAAAATGATGCCACAAGGCAATTTGGGGTTATCTGCAGAAATCGCAACAAAATAGATATGGTGGCTGGGGTTGCTCCTTCTTTGCCATATGGGGCTGCAAGGACCCACTTGTCTGCTGCACCCACCCACGGATGTTCATAAATCAATCCAGAGCCATCCATCAGCTGGAGAAAGACATGAGATAATGAGCCAAAGTGATCAGCTGGTGAGGCACCATGTGGGCTCCTCTGGGGAGGGACCGCCGAGGTCGGAGCCTCCTCCACAAAGCCTATTAGCTGCATTTAAACCAAAATTTAAAACAGGCGAGCTGAATAATTAAAAGGAAGAGTTAATGGCTCATGCTAACAGCTTCTGAAAAGCTGCCGTTTGTTAAGCAGAGCACCCACAAGAGAGGCACAGCCCTAAATGCACCCTCACTACCACCTTGCACTGCTCCAAGGGGTGTTACACGCTGCTGGAAGCACCTGAAAACACCAAAACAGCCCAGGAAGATGCAGAGGGGAAGCAGAAAGCATCTCCTCACTCAGCAACCTGCAAGGCGGAGATTTAACCTTCAAGGAAAAAGCTCACGCTCGTTTAGCAACAGCCCTTATCTACAGGCTGAGGGCAGAATAATTCCATCGAGAACAATATATAACAGATAAAAATAACTGCAGTGCAGCACAGAGATGGAAAGCACGACACAGGCTGCTTCCTTGCTGCTAAAAAGCCAACGATCGACTCAACGGCACAGGATGGGCCAGCAGTGGGAAGTGCCACCCATTCTGATGTGTGCAGGGCTGGCACCTATTGAACAGCCTGGCTCTTGTCTGGGTGCTTCTGGTTTGATTTATTTCTTTGTGACTGCTCTTGAGGCATTAGCCAAAAAACTAAATGCTTAAGGGGCCCTCAGGCTGAGACCACATCAGGCACAAACGCAATGGGATCCAATGGGCATCTTCTGCCTGCTCCTTGAAGACCCCAGAACATCCATGCCAAGGAACATCCTCCTCCAAAGGACCACAGTAAGAACACCAGAGGCATCTCTTGTCTTGCATTTGAGAAGGAATCTGGTACATGTGGAACAGTTTCACCTTCCCTTGCCCCTAAATAGAACGCTTCCACTCCATGCATCAAATGATCACCCCGTGCTTTTCATACTCTGCTATAAAAGAAAAGCCACAATTTGGAAGCTCTACTTGGAATATCCAAGGGTTTAGAGTTCCATCACTCCATTACAACCTCATCCCCACCACTGGGTTACTTCCATCTTTCTCCAGACCAAACTCCTCCAGCAAGGCAACGGACACAGCCAACGGCAGCATCTTCAGTAGGCATCTACCAGGAGCCAAGGGGTCTGGCAAGAGGGAATGCTTAGGGAAAGCCTTATGGGACTGCATCACTCCCATCCAGCCCAGCA